GGCAGCGCTGCGCGTGTCCCTCGGCGTGCGGGTCCTCCTCCTGCTCGCAGTTGCTAGGGCTTGAGCGGAGGAGAGAGCCAACGCCAGTCAGTCAAGCTGCAGGAGGTTTTTAAAGGTCAAAGTAGTGCAGCCCACTGCTAGCTCTCTCAGACTTCAGAGATGGATTAAGTACCTTATTCGGGTGAGAGAGAGAGAGACTGTAACAACAGGAAAGTGCACAAGATGAAGCCAGTCTAGCAGCAGTAGCTGGAGCAAGAGACAAAATGCCGCATACTTGCAAGCTGAGCCGCTGCACGTGCAAGGTGCAGGTGCAGGAGTGTCCTCTTCCAGAGCTACCGGCTGGCAGGAAGGGGAGCGGGGCATGCACAAGGATGATTTATCCTACCCTTGCACGGAAAACGGATGTCTGTCTTTCAAACCGGCAGTTTCCCTCTATTACAGGTAGGGGACCAGGCTAAACGGATTAACAGCCTCATTTGATTATGATAACCCCAGTGTTTTTGTGACATTTACATATTGCACCAGGAAATCCTGACTAGAGCTAGTAGGAAATGGAGGTCTGAAGCGGAACATTAATTACCAGGGTCTGGCTCCTCCATCTGTCCGTCACCCCCTCTATCAAAGGGGTTTTTCCTTTAGAAGAGACTGTATCTTTGTCCTTCCACCATGGGGGAGTATTTGCCTAAGTGGTAGCAGGCTGGCATCATTGAGTAATTTGGGATGGGAACTTAGGCTGTCAGGTAAAGTTCAGCTGGTTTACTTAGTAGTCCCTCGCAACGACAAGCTGGGCAGGGGGGAAGGGACTTTCTAAGTTGAGCACCTCTTTCCGATTCCCTGAACAGCTCGTGACCCAGACAAATCTTGTCCCCGCAGCATGGTCTGGGGAGCAGATGTGGGTGCGTGCGAGCTCTGCAGGGCCTTCACCACCAGGCTGCCGAGGGACCTCCGAGACGAGCCGTGGCACTGGCTCCGAGTGCGTCCTGTGCGAGGACACAGTGGACGGCGCATCTGAGCCGCAGGAGCCGTCAGGGCATCTGTGCTCCTTTGCCATGGGGTCAGAAGGAGTCTCTTACTGTAGAGGGTTCCCAAGGTCCCTTTTAACCCTGTTTGCAGTGTAACCCTTGGCTGTGCCTGCAGAGCAGAATCGTAGCCGTTCTGCTGGGTCGCAGGACCTGGGTACCCAGGAGGGAGGCCCAGGAATATGTTCTTGCCCAAAGGTAGAGCTGGCCAAAGCAAAAGGCCACAAGGGAGCAACCTTCTTCTGGGCTGTCGCCTGAAAGACCGCATTTCAGGTGAAAGTAAATAAACCCAGCACCACCACCAAAACACCTTTTATTCCTAAGTTAAAAGACAATGTGTCTCACTCTTTCAGAAATATTCCATGGCCTTTTGTTTCACAGATCGAGATGTGGATTATGCCCTTAGACCTCAAAGGATTATGTCCTCTATGTTCATGGACTTATTTTAGTCCGTCGGTGTGGATCTAGTCAAGAAAGTATCCCTGTAAAATTCGCATATGGGCATAACAATGTTCTGTATTCATTTTTCAGTGGCATCCATCTGAATGCCGGTCAGTTTACAAGTCACAAAGAAAGATTTCTCTAAGTGCCAGTGCTACAGCTTCCCCCTGGAAATGATGTGAATATAAAATTTCTTCTGCGTTTTGCATCACCTCCCGGCGACAGATCCTGCAGGCAGAAGTTATAAGCAAATTCCACCAGGGCTGTAGGAAGCAGAATCCACCCCCTCTCCCCCAGGTGCATTGACTCTGGAGGTTTCCTGTTTGCATACCTAGTGTCACACTTCTGCAGAGATGGTTTGAATAGGAATGGTATGGCTTGAATAAGAATGTGTCACTTTTTGAAGTCACTTTTCTGATCTTAGCCACATTGCAATGGTTTGGTGTAAAGTATATCACACCTTCCCCTGCAATCACACTAAACAGTGAGTCTTCCATTAATTCAGCTAAATGTAAGATTAGACTCTAGAGCTGTGGTTTTGTGCTCTGCCCAGGTTTCTCCACAAAGTTGTATCTGAATCTCTCTATCTCTCTCCCCCTCTGTTTCTTCCTTCCCTCCCCTTTTCATTTTTCCCCACTACTAGGTTTTGGCTCGCTGTCCAAGATCTCAAAAAACAACCTTTACAGGACGTAACCACAAGAGTGGAGGAAATCTGGCAAGAGTTTCTAGCCCCTGGGGCCCAAAGTGCTATCAACCTCGATTCCCACAGCTATGAGAAAACAAGCCAAAATGTTAAAGACCCAGGGAGATACACATATGAAGATGCACAGGTTTGTTTCTGATTTTATGGAACTACTGCTAATAAAGCCCTCTGTTTTACCACAGTCTTCTCCTATCCCGTTGTCACTGCTCATTTGTAAGAAAAAGGAGAGGCACAGTTGGAAGTGACTTTGAGGATATCTACTCAAGCTGGGCAAATGATATTTTCTTTGAATCTATCAGTTATAACAGGCTCATGCTCCTCTGGGAACAAATGTTCCAAAATTTACAAGTCTGCAAGGCACAGTGAGCTGGAGCAATGTCTCAAAGAAAGCAAAGATGAAAGAATACAATCAAGTTCGGTTTGGCTTTCTGTATTCCCTGTCACCAAAGTCTGTCATGTTTACAGAATGGCTGATAGCATGTCAGAATTCTGGTTGCTACGCTTGTTTTGTCATTTATTTTATTTTAACTAGTTAAATCCCCACCACCACCACCCCCCCCCAAAAAAAAAAACAAATGCAAGAGCTTCCTCCAACACAACTAGAAACTTGTCCACCAAACAATATCTTACAATAATGATAGGACAGATGCAATGCAGTGTGCTTAATCCTCCCCTCCTAAGGGCCCCAGATTTATCAGATAAATTTTGCAGATAAATTGTACACAGAAAATGCCTTTAGGAATACAGATAATCTATGAAAAACTGCTACAAGGAAGAATTAAGACTGCATAACCTTCTGAAAAAGTGGAAGTGTCATTATATAAAGGCTAAAAGAAAAAGGAAGAAGGGATCATTTAGCAAATATTGTCAGGGACACAATTAAAAGATATCCTCCTCATAATCATTTTTATCAAAAGCATGAAATAAAACCTACAGCAAGGAAATCCCTGTTCTTTTTTTTTTTTTTAATTGACATTCAAAGACCGTTCTTCAAAATACTCCAGTAACAAAATACTGCTGACTCAGGGGAGATGTTGTGGACCACTTATACAAGGCTAGGCAATGAATTTTTCGAACTAGCATCAAATACTTTATTTTCCTGAATCCAATCCTGCTCCTTGGGGCCAGCATAGAAGGGATGTGCAAAAGTTTCAAGCCAGTCCCTTGTGAATGTGAAACAACTTAAATGTTCTTTTAAACGCTAAGGCACACAGGAATATGAAGATGTTCTGGCTGTGGTGGATTTTTTTGCTTTGCAGCTGTAGTGAGCAAGAACTTCTGTAAATTTGCCTTACCTGAAAAAAAGATGATGGCAAAATGGAGGCTAAAGCAGATAGGTGAATTATGGGGGAATTGATTAAATTGATAAGTAAAGTACTGTGAATAAGACAGATGTTTTGACAATGAGTAGTTAAGCAGAAGAAGACAGTGAGAATTTAGGCTTGAACTGAGCAGTTCAAAAATGTAATTGCAATTCAAAGGGGAGTTGATGAAATCAAGCTGGAGCTCTTACAGTTAGACTGCAATTTTAGCTCCTTGGGTTAATTTTATTTCAGAGGATTTTTATATTGCCTGATGTCCTCAGCTCATCTGTTTTGGTTCACGGAAATAGAAGTGTGAGGCAAAGGTAGAGCTTCAGGCCCAGCTATAATCCTCTTGGAGACTGAGTCTGTGCCAAGAGAGGATACAGTGATGTGGAAGGTGAAGCTGGGTTGCCTTCTTGCGCAGCGCAGAGGACTTCTGGTAGTTCTCCAAAAGCCGAGCGAGCTGTTTCTGATTGCTTGGCCAGATAGCTACCAAGGCTGCCTAACAAAGGCAGAGGAAAACAGGATGTAGCCAAAATGCCTCATGTCCTAGCAGGAGCTAACGTCCTCTCTTGCACATCCACTCTTCACAGGAGCCAGCACAGGTTTCCTCAACGCACTCTTGAGCTTCACGCCTGCCCTCCCAATGTCCCGCTCGGGTCAGCGCTACCTACCTCACTGACTCTGTTGTCTCATAAATCTGCAGCAGGTTTAGGCCCAGCTCCATTATCGCGGCGCGCTGGCACCCAAGAGCCATGGGAGCTCCCACACGTCCCGCATTCCTATGGATTAAACCAGACACAACCAGTCAAAATACCCCACTGTGGGAGGGAAAATATGAGTGTTGTCCCGTCCTGTGTAACTTTAGCACAAAGAAGAAAACAACTTAAATGTCCTTGTGAATGGAGAACAAGAAAAAAATTAGTTTACAGAACAGTACATTCTTTGAATGCCTGCAACTCGGAGACACTAAGACTAAGAGGAAAGACAAGGGTTGGCTGAACTGAGAAGAAAAAAAAATGCTGCTCCTGCAGTGGGAAAATAGGAGAAGGTGATGTGGCACTGTAGCCTTTATGCTGACCTGGGAGACCCACAAAATGCCAATTCCGTACAAAAAGCACTGGAAGTGAACTCAGTCACTGCACGTGAGAAGGGAGAGGTGGAGCACAGAAAAATTACCTCAGGCTAGTGAATGTGTTATAACCGAAGCTGTTTTCAGGTATTTAATGCTGTAAATGGGCGTGCTCCTGTGCGCTGCCCCTGACAGCGCTCCCAGACTCTGCACAGCCACGAAGGGCAACCGAAGGAGGCAGCGGAGGGCGTTTTGGTGAGAAAGCTGGTGTAGAAGAACACAGGCAGAAAAGCAGGCTCCTGACAAACACGCTTCTCGGTTAAACACCTCTGGCTCCCAAGGCCTCTCGCAGTCTGAAGGCAAATGGTCCCTATAGCTAGGAAAAGTGACACTGAAAGTCTTAGCTCCAAGCATTTTACAGGAGCTCCTAAGCCAACCTGATTTTGGGGTGGCGTTTATTGTTTCAGACAACGCTCTTGCTAAGATGTTTCCCGCGTTCGAGAAGCGCGTGTTTTGCCGTTTCCCCATCTCGGCTCCTCTCGGCCTCTCCCTCGCTGCTGGCTCTGCAGGCCTGCGCCGCTCGCTGGGCCTGCCCCCACCACCCCCTGCCACCCCTCTTTGCCTCGCACCTCGTCCTCGACCTGGACAACTCCTGCTGCTAATTGTGTCCTCATCTTCAGTACTGCCAGCTGCCCTGAGCTGCAGGACGTGTTGTTATTTTAGAGCTGGGCCCTGCCAGAGGAGAGCCTACCAGTTTGGCTCATTATTTTCTTCTCTTAAACAACTGTCCACTAAACAAAATAGCGTAACCATTGTCACTGGGGACTAAAGCAGCTTTTAAGACAGGGGCACCATGGGGAAAGGTCAGCTCATTCAAACAGTTCAATTAACTATTTTGCAGGATCTAAATTTCCATAGGAGTTATCAGCATCACTGAGCAACCAATGTGGGGCCCCACAATCTGAAGCAGCCACGGCCAGCTCTAGAAAGTAAATATGTTCTCGTCCATCCAAGCGGCCTCTCTTGGCTAATGAGCTGCTGACAGCCAAATTCGTCTTTAATAGGGGAACCCTATCTTTAATAGGGTAACCTATTTTACGGTTTATCTCTACAACACATTATGAGGCCTTTAAGAATTTTTTCCCAGCTTCAGGTATCTCCTTCCTTCCCCCGAAATGTTTTTCTGCTTTCAGAAAGTCTTTAATCTCACTCTCATTCCCAAAGGCCTTGGCATTGTAAACAGCTATCGCAAGAATGCATCGTGTTTCCTGATATGAATGTTTGGTTGTAGGGGCATTTACTGCCATGGTTCAGAGCCAGGAATACTAGAATAAGGTGAGCCACATAGTTGTTCTTGCAATTACTTTTCTGTTTGCTTAATGGAGTTTTTTATTGTTGCTTTGTTTATTTTTCATCTTTAATAAGTAAAACAGGGTTTTAGAGTGACTTTCCCTTACCTGAACTAATCAGCTATTGTTTTCTCTGAAGATGATCCAGGGGAATTCAGTTCTAATCTCAGCTCCGTTAGGGATTTTAACTATGCTGTGCATATGCTTGACTAATTCCAGAGTAGATTTAGACTGTAATGCCAGACTTGGAGCTGATCAAACTAGAAATGCACCTGGCCCAGATTTGGGCCCACGTCACGCTCTCAGCTGCCCCGAGTCTTGGTTTGGTTTGTTCTGCACTGTTACAGAAATAGGAGCCTCTGCCGCGTTCTTGGTGATCAGTCCTCAGTTTTCCTTCCGGTTCCCTCAAGTAGCTGTGAGTGCAGACGCAATCGTGACAGGATCCTGTTGAATTCAAAAGCAGTCTGCAGGCATGAGCTAGGATCTCCTGGAAGGGGAATGTCATTTTTTTTACCGAGAAAGGAAAATAAGGGATGCCCTTTTTCACACTGACTGTTTTTTCAAGCATGCACAGGATGTGAAAGCAAGCATACAGAGCAGTGTATGCATGGTACCTATTGAGCGAGCATACAGAACTTCTTTTGTAGGACTGGAGCAAAATCATAGCATGGAAGGAAAATATGAAAATAGTCATTCGTTGTGGGCCTGTATCACCTTTCATATAAGAAACTAAAGAAACTTTATTGCTACTTTCTTAAATCTTTTTACTCCCCTTCAACGAGTCACCCTACTTACACACACATCTATAAAGGAAGATGAATAAGGGTGAGGAAACTGAGGCAGCACATAACAGTTCTCTTTGGTGGGATGGACAATCAGTAAGAAAGCATAGGACAGACCCAGGAGTTCCTTGAAGGGCAGCTCGCCTCCACCTGAGCCAGCACTGCTCAGAAACCTAGCACTTGCATTACGTGGATTTGAAAACTGCAGCTGAGTCAGCCCAAAGCTCTTCACCAGATGGTATCCTGACAGTGGGATAAGGCCTGTTGGCTGTGGTATGTCCACCCTTGAGCTATTATCTTCACACTGTGCTAACTCATATATCCCATTAGACTAACTTTAACCTGCATCTCCAGTGGGTTGTGTTACCATGCACTAATCCTCTAATCTTCGCAGCAGACCGCTTTGTTGCCTCAGTTTGTCCTTTGCCCTCCTCTGTGCTGTCCCAGAGCTCAGGCCATCGGTGCTTGGTTTGGATGAGGCCTCAGCAGACTGTCCTTTAAGTTGCCCCCGGGTGCATTAGACCTGCAATTCACATTAAGATGAACTTGCTGCAAGTGCACAGAGAACTCTGAATAACAGGTAATATATAGCCTAGTTCCACCCCTCTTCTTGCGTATCT